GGGGGGGGGGAAGCCACCCTGCAGGACAGCGACCGACCCTTACCTGCGCAACGCTTAAACAAGCCACGATAACTTTTAGGAATACATCTCTCCTATATACAGACACACGTATGTGTATAACGCAGCCTAGTACCAGCTCTAATGATTTTTCATGGGGCTTGATGGATGACAGGAGAGATTCTTCCCACCCTGCATTAAGCTTAATTTCTATCCCAGCAGCGAAACCTGCGCTTTTGTTCTGCACGCAGAAACTGGGTTTCAGAAGGCGGCTTGGGGAGGCGGCAGGGCCGCCGTGACCCGCGTCTTCCCAGAGCGATGGAAGAAGAAAATGGGATTAGCTGGACTGCAATCAAACACTCATCGCCTTCCAACGCTTTCTTCCTGAAGCACGATGCGGCCCCGCCTGTCGTGCGGCCCCGCTTGTGGGGCAGTAAGTGGTCAGAGTGAAATGACGAAGAGTTTTGGAACACAGGGAGGGAAACAGCAGGCAGGGGAAGCGCCGGTTTCCTCCAGAGGCAGGTGAACGCAGATCTAAACATTCACAACCTAGAAAAACATCAAAGGAGAACAAATCAATGTAGTTGAGGTCACCAAAAGTGTTTGTTATATTAAGAGGTTCAGATCAGTGCTATTTAGAATAAAAAATTGAGTGCTGACTTGAGTACAATATGAAATACATGTAACTACCAGTCATATTTTTAAAAAGCGTTCTGCATTTATTTTTGTTAGCACACCTCAACTGCCAATTCACTTGTTCAACCTAAACCACTCAGAACTGAAATCAGATTCTGTTGGTGCATTACAGTAGTTAAGATGTTTATCAGTCAGCTCAGCGTACGGGCTTACCAACGTCTTTAAGATTTTACCTCTGTTTAAGCCATAAATAAAGGCAAAGGGATGTAAGAGTAAGATGCTTGTGGGTTATTGTATGCAACATTTAATGAGAATCCACTTAATTAAGACTTGATATAAAAAAAAAAATCCCTTAATTTATTAATTCACTTAGAAAATTTTGCAATGACGAATTGGAAACAAGGAACTTAACTTCAGGAGTAGCTGAACATTTACCTGGTTTCCCTTCCCAAAATCTGGGAAGGGTACCTCCCGCAGAGGACACATTTATCTCTATCGTCGCAGATAAGTGCTATTTCCAACTTGGCCCGAATTTTCCACCTTGCGTGCTTCGCATAGATGATGAGAAATTACTTTAAACAATGACAGGAAAAAAAAAAATCCAGCACTGGCATAACTTGCACAGCAACTTTTGGCTTTTCTTTTCCCCGCTGGCTGGCACACCACTTGTTTTTCTCTTGCGTGATGCAGTCACAGCAAGGAAATGGTGGCCAAAAGGTTCTCTCCATTAAACCATCCAGTCAGCAACAGCCCACAAAAATGCCGAAGGAATCCTACAACGCAATTAGAAAGAGACTGTCAGCGTAGGCCTTTTCCACAGACAAAAAAAGGACTGGATTAGTTACGTATTTGTATTGGATGTGCTAGGTTTTTAACCATATGCTGCATTCATAGATGTTCAGCAAGGCTTATTTTACCTTGACAGGAGAAGCAAGCATTGATAGCAGTCGGGATCTGAGTCAGAAGCTGGTAGAACTTCAGGCTGAACCTGAAGGATGGTGGCCAAAGGGAAGGACATATATATATATATTTTGAGATATATAAGTCTGTTACGTATATATATATACACAGACACACGTAAAATCTGTCCATGCATGTTGCACAGGTTACACCAGCCATAGGAAGCATTTAGCAGCTGGGTGCCGCTGGCAGGTACCAGTACACCTACCCAACGCCTGCTTGCTGCGTCAGTCAGAGCGGTGAAGCGCCGTCTTCTGCAGCAGGATCTTGAGTCAATTCTCTCCCGCTTTCTCAGTGAAGATTTCTGCCGTCCAGCACTGCTGGCGAACACACCCGATCCCTTGTTTTCCTTAACGGACTTCACTTTTCATACTGATCTGGCATAAGCTTTGGAGTTTTGGGTGGGGTGAGGAGAACCACTGGCATAAACCCTACTTCGAATGGAGGTAATGAAGAGTTACACCACTTGCAGTAGCACTGCATCTGGTAACTTTAGGCAATATGCCATGTGCTAAAATAGCTGCCTGAAGCAATGGAATAACCGTTTTCCTGTTACAAATACACATGCGTTTGGTACAACGGCAGCGATGCGTCATTCCCGTACCTGGTTACCTTCTCGCCTCGTACACGCACCGTTCGCAGCAGCCCTGTGACCGCCAGCTGTGCTCGGAGCAGAGGCCTGAAACCTCAGATCCCAGTGCTCAGAGGCTGACAGAATAGCATCGTCCTGTCTCCTGGCTTCTCCTGCAGTAAGGAATAATTACAGTTGCTCTTTAACAACCCAAGGGAGAACCGCTCCCTGAGAAGAGTAAAAATGCCAAGAGTTGGGAGTGTTTCTGTAGAGCCTCATGACCTTCGGCTGATAGCGCTTAGCTAGAACACGCAGATCCTGGTGAAGTACCAAGCCCCGGACCACGAGAGTTACCTGTCCTTAAAAACACAGACAGACTTCCAGCACTGGAATAAGTTCTGGTTCCACTAAATCCTTTTTTCACTGATCCTTTTAGCAGATGATGAAACTTCTGTGAAGAAAAAGCATTGCACCACAAACATCACATCTTCCCCTCACAGTTAATACTGAGGAATCCTCAAAATGGAAATGTTTTTCAGCCCCTCCAGCAATTCACACTGCTGTTCAGACTTCTGTGAGGGACAACACACATTTTTTTGCTTCTCTAGATGTTTCACCTGAACGACTGTTGTAGCGATCATAATATTTGGTTTTCTACTTTGTACCACTGTGGAAGATCCAAATGCTGTGTGGCATTAAAGATGGGCACACAGAGAATCTAATACTACGACTTGCGGCGAAAAAAAACCCAAAACACCAGGCTTTCTGTATGAGCAGTAACTAGTCAATAATGAAAACACTCAGCTGGAAGCACAATATACTGGTTTTCCTATTGGAGCTACTAATTCTGGATGTCAAAAAAAGGAACTGACTACAGCGACGCTGGTCACGCAATTATTGCGCAAGTCTTGGCAAGAAGAGTCCCACGTAGCGCTTCAGAGCGAAGGAGGCAGTTGTTTATTGACAATGGAAACAAAATAAAAGTGGTAAAGCAAACATAGTTTAAATATAAAGTTTCTAGTCATCTGGTGTTCTGTCAGGCTCCCTTTTTTTTGTTTTTCATTTTTTTATTCAGGCGTAGTTACAAAAATCCAGAGAGGATTTAGGGAAACATGATACTTGAACATCAATTTGTCACCTATGACAAAGTCTGAACAGCAAACATCATATAAAGAAAAAAAACTCAAAACGTATTTACAAATTCATACTTCGTAGTCACTGAGAAAGTTCTTGGTTACCGAGTGGCAGATTATGCACGTACACTACATTCCAAAAGGCGCTATCCAATCAGAGTCATTTAGCATAAAATTAAGCTGAAAGACAGATTGTCTAAAAATAAGGCCAGTTTCATTCCTAATTTATGCACGTGATGACCAGAATCTTCTGGTACTTCTATGTTAATAAAAAAAAAAAAAAGAGCATAAGAGCACCTGATCCCAATGGGATACACAGACCAAACTGCAAGTTTCATTCTTAGCAGGAGTTATCAAGAGTAGAAACTCATGAGGAAGGACAATAGTATACACCTTTTTTGCCATCTTGTCTATTGCTAATTTTAAATGCTTGTATAAAAACAAATCCCCACACCATATTTGCAATATGATCATAAATAGGCAATAGTTTAAAAATGTAAGATATGATTACCTCGGACTATCAAGCTGTTTCGCACTTCAGAAAAAAGTGACCAAAGCTCAAACACCTTTCTCTTCCTCTCCCTCCCTCCCTCCCCGTCCCCCCCCAAGCCCCCTCTCCCCACTTCCAAACCAGGAAAAAAAAAAAAGTTATACTCTGATGAATATTAGAACTGGCACCAACATTCATGCTAGTTGCCCTGATGTGCAACAGAAAGTTCATTTACAATAGTCAGAAATATTCTTATGCACTAGCCCCAAAGAGTTCAGCTTCTGAAAACAGTTTATTTTGTTTTGAAAAAAATCCCGTCAGGTATGACGTGGGCAGCGTCCAGAAGGTGCAGGAATGTCCAACACTCTACGTCGATCTTCATATTCATCAGTGTCTGTGGAATCTTCGTCTTCATCCACTGCATATTCATTATGATTTGTTTCCTAATACAAAACACATCCATATTTAATTAAAATCTTCTATTCCAGCTAGTTCTAAGAAAGCACTAACAACTGCCTAGAGAAATCTGAAGTCTGCATTATCGCCACAGTTAGCCGAACTAGACATTGTGCTCTATGTCCCAAAACCAGCTCCTTCCAATTACGAAGTTTAATTTGCAATAGAGATCATTTTGCCAAACTACTTGACTTTTAACTCGGTAAACATTCATTGGCCTTCATTATTTCATCTGCACAACTATGTAAAGCCACAATTGAGTATCTTAGCTGTACCAGTTTTCTTGGTGGCTCACATTGCCTTTTATTAAAAGTAGTTTAAAAAAAAAGTCATCAGTACCTTTAAAACAGAGGCAGAGCAAAAGAGAAAAGCAAATTATTTTCACAGTCAACTGAATGGCAGGAGGTTACAACTCCCATAAATTGAGCAAGAGTGAAGAGATGCCATGTTCTGTTAGAAGCACGACATCTGCTGGCACTTACTGTTAGAGCTACTGGTAACGAGAGCGCCTCAAATCCCTTGAAAAACGTGAGAAAGCACCCAAGTAGATGTCTACCCCGGAGGAAAGACTCAATGCTCGCACAAAAACTTTCAAGTTCTATCTGAATCAGTCACTAAATAAGGGCTATGCTAGTGATAAAATAAATAAAGCATTCTTCTCGAAAGAAGGCCAAAGGAAAGCGAGAAATTACATAGTTCACCTGCAATCTCCAAACTAAAACTACATTATAATTAACAGTAAGCTAAATATCTTATTGATTTGTGAAGTCGTTAAGTGACTTTTTGGCATGCACGTTCCGTGAGGACTAATGAACATCAAATGGACCGCTATCATTTTTAAATGGTCATTAACTGAAACTTTTCTTGTTGAAGAAAGCAGATCTGCTATTATGGCTAAGACAGACGACAGCGTGGTCACACCAAGACGGAATATTTAAAAGAACTATGAAATCCAAACAGCTAATGCCATGCCACGTTTCTAGGTACGAATTAAGAAATGAGATAGCTCCTTAAAACAAGACAAGCAAACAAAACTCAACACTGCTCTAGTCTGCATAATCAGATATACCTCTGAAATATGCCCTGAAGAGACATACATGGGCACATATATATTTCTGTGCAGCCTGAGGGGCACTCGTGTTCCGACACAGGTCACGTTCTACCTCTGTCGAGAGCCCACAGCGCCCCTGATCTCACCGATACAACCAGGTTTGACCTTGATACCAGACAGAGGGGAGGACTGGAGGAGGAAGATCCATAGCCACGTACGGCGTCCTATGAAAGCTCGGGCCAAGGGTCTTGAATTCAACTGGTAGCATTACACGTCAAAGCAACGATACGTGGCTTTACCAATGCACAAACTGCCTACAAAGATTACTACAGTTGCTAGACTGAGTCTTAACTGGACCATGGTTTGTATGGAGTTATCAATCCAAATACTGTTCAGTACTGTACTTTTTGCACCAGAAGTGTTTTCTTATCGATAAACATTCCAGAAGCTGAAAAGAATTCATATAATGGGAAACTGCCAAAGTCTCAGACTGAGTGATACTTTTAGATTATATTTTTTTTTTGGAGAAATGGTTCTGAAAAAGAGAACGCTTTTCAAGAAAAGAATCAAAATTGAAAAGTGACATGACATTGGAGTTTAAACACACAGTTACTCTGCCCTATTTAAATTAATCCAAGTGTTTCTGAAAACAGGTCAGAGAAAAAAAAACACTAGGATAAGGGCAACTGCATCTCCGCTTACCATTCGTGCTGTAGACACCTTGAATGTTGGACACACCATATGAAATCTGGGAATTGTGACGTTGAAGAATTTGTCCTTGTAGTAGAGGCAATGGAAGGTGTAATACCCCTCCATATATCCAGATGTTGTGGAAAACGTAGTACAGCTGGTATATTCATAGACTCTCCCTGGACTGATAATTGGAAACTCCCCTGTTGGTAAAATATGAGATCACAATAGGAAGGACTGAAGTAGAACTACAACTTAGCAGTTTGCTAAAGCACTTGTACTCCACAACACATTCAGGCAGATCATTTTATATTCCAGTGGATGCATAAATGATTCTCAACAACTACTGATGTGAAAAAACTGTCTGAAGAGCATTTAACTATCAAGATGTTCAGACATCGCTTGCAAAATGACTTTAAAGACAAAACAGATGGATACACATCTCTCTTTTTTTCAAGCAACAAAATTATTTTGATACAAACCATACAACTACTACCCTCTGTCACCACGGTGAATGGCTAATAACGTAACTTTCATAACATGTACATTAAATACAAAACCACTCTCTCTGTTGGGTTCATAAAAGCAATCTTTTACTTACCAACTACTCCAGGACCCTGAACTTCTTCTACATCGCCTTTGGCATTTGTTATTCTCCAGTATCGACTGTCCAGCTGACAAGCCTTCTCAGGAAGAGCATCTTTGGACATTTCAATCCTAGAAGCCAAACAGCATACTTAATGGTTATGTAGCTACCTTCATACATTTTAAGAAATGCTTTAGTATCCTTGGGATCCCCCTCCGAGTAGACTGGGCAAAAAAAAACCCAACCCTAAGGTAAAGTATACTGAATCAGTTGTCAGGATCCATCTCCACGCCTGTGCTTCACTATCTATTGTTATTTACCCCTTTCTGAATCACAAGAGTTACTTGTAACTTCTTTCCCCCACCCATCACCGTACTTTACCAATTGTCAACTTGGCTGGTAATTTGCGTACCTGACCAGGCGATGATTTAGTATTTGTTTATTAAAAAGTACAGCATGTTGAGCACATCCTACTCATTTTAGTACGTTTATGAATGCCGTGCATGAATTTGCAACAACGCATCCTTTGAACATTACACAGGTCTCTCCTGTGTTGTAAGAGTTACTTCAGTTGTTATTTTTACCTGATTCTGTAAGTGAAGAAATAATGCGGTGGATGCACAGAACTGAGTTCAGGTAGAAAAGATGTGGACACAGAAACAGTAATATCTCCTGTGGTAGCGACACATTCTTTATCATGCACATACCTACAGAAAGGAAAACATTAACTCTGCAAATAGCTCTGTACCTTCAATACAGAAAGCTAAACACGTAAAGTGATTAGTTAATTACTAATAAGAGCACTGTGGCGCTAGGTTAAAAGTAATTCTTAACTTGCCATTTGGCATTTAAATAAAGGATGTGTGCAGTGTCTTCATGATGTATGCTTCCCCATCACCGAAACTCATACAGCTACGGATGTCTTTGTACCTCCATTAATGCTTGTATTAAGCTGGGTGTGTAATTTGATCCGAAGTCAGTGAAGACACGCTTGTTTAATAAGGATGTGTCATTATGCTATTGAAAAAACAGAAACTAGCAACTCCTACAGCAAATTAATTTACAGATCAGGAACTTGGTTCTATAGCATCTCAGTTTGACAGAATTAAGGTTCTTGCTTATATTTAGAAGAAAAGCGCATGAAGATTTGAACACCAGAAAATTCCTGTCTATTTACAAATTCAACAGTGTTGTTTTAGAGACCAGTTCACTGAAGCAATTGCTTTTTTAATAACTCAGGACAGTCCTGCAGCAGCAGCACGCTCATGGCAAGCAGAATAAACATTATGCTGTTAGCTAAGCTTCAGATCAGTTACAGTGCAAAATTCTGGTCCCATTAATGCAAAGTTACAAACTCTGAAGCTTCTGGTGAAAAAAAAAAAAAAAGTTGATTTAAGCATTCTGTTTTACAGCTTTATCTGCAGTAAGTTTCACGTCCTTTCTCCTCTCTCCACCATCCGTTTTTTTATCGGATACCCATAACTACTTGGAAAGCATTCTAGAAGAAGCATCAAAACCTTGCAGTGAGGTTATAAATCCCAGTCACAATACCTGAAAATCTGGTCTCTGATGATAGGATAACCACCAGTTACAACTTTGTTTACATAGGATGTAAACCATTCCAAGTAAGATGTACCTAGATGCCAAAGAAGAAAAGTATCCATAAGGACAGGCAAAAATACTTCAAGAAAACAGTTTAAAGCTTTGAATATTTTACAATAAACTCTCAGACTTACTTACACGAGTCAGCCAATATTCCAGTCCGTTCTACCAACAAAGATCATTTGGAGAAACCAACCAAGAACTAAGAGTAAAAGGTGCATACTCCAGAAATGACACAGCAAACAAAGAATCTCTTAGCTAAGTATTTCACATTATAATCATGGTCTTCAAATGCTGGTGTCTCATCTGGTTTCCTGCTCATGGCTTCTGCTATGACTGGGAACGATGACAAGTATAGTGACCTATACTATTTGTATAGCTATTTCCAACAATTCTACCTACAAGAGGCGTGCAAGCCCGCTGGTGGATTTATGGACTTAGTTTTGATACGCAAGTTTCCATATGAATACAGTTTCTCAGAAACATGCTAGCAAGTTACAGAATTTCCCTCTCCTTAAAAACAGGGATAAGCCATAGACATACTCTCCACTTCTGCTACAAACCCAGAAGACTAAGGCTGTGTCATTCCAAAGAACCTGGGATTTTCATACGCTTACAGCCATTGTCTGAGAACAGCTTTTCATACACCTACAGCTATTATTAAGGAACAGCTTGATTTCTAAGTAGACAGTCAAGCTGCCACATTTAACTCTCAAAGAAAAGAGTTTCATAGAAGAGATACCGGCTCTCTGTAAAAGGATTTCTCAGCCATAAATCTTCCAAGCATTGCGATAGAGAGTTCAATAGAAAAGCACGGAGTTCCTCAACTATTTGTCAATATTACTGATACAAAACTGGATTTAAGCTGAAATACTAAGAAATCATTATCCTCACCTTCACTGACGTGTTATCATGTACTAGCACTCCTGTTAGATTAAGTGTGCTTACCACTTCTTCCTTTGAGCAAGAGCTATGTGTACTGTCCTTTGATCTTTTGGAAGTCTAAGGAACTCCAAGTTTATTATCCTCCTTTCTACCACTAATCCACAAAATGCAAACCTTGTATAAAGTAACTCGGAATGGAGAAAGTAGACCAATTTATCCTGCCGCATTCAAAATGACAAGATAAACGCTGTATATGAAACTTCCCCTCCACCCTGTGATAAGCCAAGATTAACCCTTTCAGCCAAGTGGAATGCATTTAAATATGATGTCAGATCACCTCACCATCAAGTCAATGCCATAAAAGCAGCAGCCTTGAGCAGCAATACCAGCTCACCATAGAGTAGCTTTGAAGTATTACATCATCCTCAGGTGGAGAGAAGCAAGTAACCAAACTCTTGAGCTTTTGCTCTCTTTCCTATGATGATTCTAAAGCACACGCTGCGTTCTGCAATAAGACCTTTGTAAAACAGATGACAAGCTGACTACTTCACAGTGAAATCGGTTCATGCGATCAATCCATACGTAGAAAGGTTTCCTAAAATTAGCGTGGCTAAGAGTTTTGAGTACCTTCAACCCAAACCAGCAATGGTGTAGCATTGTCTCATGTGGTTTCTCACAGGATATATGTATGAATGTTACAAAGAAATGTGCAAGGCTAAATTTTAATATTAAAATTTTGGTGCCATTTATTACACATCTACTTTCCCACTGAGTGGAAGGAATTAATTTAGACATAGCCACAGTTACCAGATTCCAGTGGATTAACAAAGAGAAATAATCAAAACACTATTCCAGTCAACGTACATGTCAGACAGATGATCACAACAGATTACTACATAACCAAACAACAATTACACTGTTTTCACCTTCCCTCCTTTATCCTTGGAACAAAGCCATCAGGCAAATCAAAATCCAGAAAGATTTTCTTCTGCAGCTATGTTTATAGTTATTTAGGTTTCATGAAGGGATGCAAAATATTTTCAGCTTCTAACATGGCTGCAAAAACTACTGGGGAAAACAAAAAATCTTTCTGTCCACCTGGATGTTGTTATTAGTAACTGCTTACATCACTCCATGATGGCTAACTTAAAGGTGTTGCTCATCTTGTTAGACAGGTTAGTACACTGAATGATTTGTATACCAGACACACAGAAGGACAAGCTTTAATAGAGAAAACTTGCATCGCGTTTCAAGTAACCACTGATGTTAAAGTAGGTTAGAGTCTCAAAGTGGCACAGAAAATTTGGAACACTTGCTTTGTTCAAGTCATACTGACATGCATTTTCTAAACAGTGCGATTAAAACATTTTGCAGAATATTTTCTCTAAAGTGTTACCTGTAATGAACATATCAATAGCAGATGGATTGCGAGCCATTTGGTCCTGAAAGGGAAAGCAGGTTATGGATGTATTAGAAGGAGAGCATTAGACTTTAAAGGTTAAAATTCAACACCTGAACTGTAACATAGGGAACACTTTCCCTATGTTTACTAAACCTAAAATCAGGCTGCTTAATACATCATTATACTCCCAGTCAGATATTCAAATATATAAAACATACATGCCTGTCCCCATGAGTGCTCACACGATCACTGAATATACAGCTCGAACATTCCACTACGGCTCATGCATATAAAATCAGATTTAATGCATCATTCAAGAAACAAGGCCCCCCAAAATATTGCCTTAAAACAGAAGCACAGAACAGCTGAGGTTGGAAGAGACCTCTGGAGATGATCAGCCCAATCCCTCTGCTTGAGGCAGGGTTAGCTAGAGCAGCTTGCCCAGGATGCTGTCCTGTCCAAGGACAGAGACTGCACCACCTCTCTGGGTAACCTGCCCCAGTGTTCAACCACACTCACAGTAAAAATGTTTTTGTGTATGCCCAGACCAAGTTTCCCATGTTTTAACTTGTGCCCATTGCCTCTTTTTCTGTCATTGGGCAGGCATCACTGAGAAGAGTCTAGCTCTGACTTCTTTATGCTCTGCTGTATTTATAAACATTGAGAAGATTCCCCTGAGCCTTCTGGTCTCCAGGCTAAACAATCCCAGCTCCTGTACTACCAGATTCTCCCCTGAAACAAGCAGGGCTGTCCACAGATGAACCAAAATGTAAGCGTGCAAGTAACCTTCCAAGTTCCCAAGCATTATCCAGAAGGTTTAAATACTTGGTGTAATACAAAGGGGGACCTTCACATCCTTCAAGTGATCCGTTATCAAGGCATTCCCTAGAAATCTCATTGCTCCATGCTTTGAAAACAAACAGCCAGGAACTCCGTAGCAGATGAAGAGCCCCATCTTTTTTACAAGACCCACCCTTTACTCGCTGCACTTTCTTTTTGGGGAGAGGAGGTTGTCAGGACATGGGTAAAGAGAGAGAGGGCCAAAATCTTGTTAAGGTATAATATCCTTAAGCTTCAATAGCAACAATATGCCTATCTTAAAATACTTCAGCTGTAAGAATTATGAAAAATACTTAATTATGTTCTACAAAGGAGCTGTTCAGGAGCAATTTGTTCTTTTGCTGGAGAGTAAGTTTTGCTTACAAACCAGAGGGTATCCTTAATTGCAGTAAGCTTACATTTAACATATCTGGGGGAGGAGATATACGCAGATGCTGATCTTCCATAACGGAGAAGCTTTTCTTCCTTACAGAAACAGGGACAAGAGTATATACCTGCCATAGTCTGAACAAATTAATACCTTCCAATACGGATGAATGTTGTCCACTATCATGAACTTACAGAAATTGCTACAGCCATTAGCACCTTCACATAAATTTCTTTCATTGACTACCCATTCCACTTCTGGGCTTTGGTGAAAACCAGATGGCAACTCAGGGGCAAGTAACAAACTAATGCGATCTCTTAGTATTCGCCTTATGCTACGTAAAACACTGCAGGTATCTGATAACACGCGAAGGGACACCATCAATCATTAGAAAAGCACATTCACAAGTATAAACATATCTTCCTTACTGGACATTGATAGAAGATCTCGTATTTATTTCGTCCCTCCACACTCTCCAGGGCCATGTATTGACTCAGGCCAGTGTGAATGCAAAAAGTAAGAGGAAGGCATTGTTTCAGACCTAGCCTCTGTTGAAAACCTCCAGCCGCTGTGTCGATATCCAACAAGTCTTCAGAGCGGTAGTGGTTCGACAGTGCCATGCTTCCCATCAAACTTCGACAACAATTAAAAAAGGAAAGATGAACAGAAGATACCACTCACAAGGCAAAGATAGAATCAATGCTTAGAAAAGATTTAAAGCTATCAATGCTTTACATGCCTATTAGACCCAGATGAAGTCCAACTCTAACATCCAGGTGCTGAACTAGGTTATTAGTTTGCGACATCAGCCTTCACAAAGGGAGGCTTGATGGCTCTAAGATAAACATTTCCTTGTATGCTTTGTGCATCCCAAAGCACTGTTTTAAACTGTGTTGGTGATTCTCATTGTGTCTGCAACTACTTCAAAGGAGCCATTCACAGCTGACGCAGCTTCCTAGAGTAGCATAACATAATAATAACCAGTGCTCCGTATCTCAAGTTTTTTGCAAGTTCATTTCAATACTATCGAAGCATCCATGATTTTTCAATTAGAATACCAAGCTGCTATAGTAACAGTCATCGATCAAAACTACAGTGAGCAAGGTGCTCTATGCTTCGGAGAAAACGTTGAGAAGTAAACAAGGACAATAACTATTGAGTCAGAGAGATTATAATCTCAGTACAAAAACTAAGGCAGACAGACATAAACAAACGGACATACAAGGAAAGAAGGAGACAACGTTCATCAGCATGACATGGCAAGACCATCAACTGTCTTTCTAATTTTTTCCTCTAGCTTTTTGTAAGCATCACAGCAAAGGAAGGGATTTTTTGTTTGTTTGTTTTTGACACTAAGGAACTGATGTTGAAGACAGTAAAAGGAGCCTCTCTATACATAAGAAAAGAATATAACCATTTGGAAAAAAATAGTACTAATCTGAAACATGTAACAGATTAGGAATGGAGGTAAGCATCAGAAGCTAAGGTTAACATTGATATGAATGTTGGGCTAGATGAGAGCTACGGTGAAAATAAAAAACCCCAGGCAACCTACACTCAATGTAATAAAGGGGCAGACAATGGAAGAATGATAAAAAGGAGTAACATGATCAAAGTAATCAACTACAAAGGCACACACTACAGCAGTGTGCTTAGCAATAAGAAGAGTACACAAACCTGTAACGTACACCTCCCCACCCGTACTCCCTTCTAATTTGCCTTTCACTATGTTCTTAGATGTGAACTCTTGCAGATGCTAAGCTTTTACTGGTGTTATGAAAGCAGTGACTCAGGTGCAAGCTGACACATGTCAGCATGATATAAGCTGCTCCCATCCTGGGCAACAGGTTCCATTCCTCTTTTTCCTTACGTAGTCTTGCCTGGAATTAGCACGTTCTACAGTTTAAAAAGGGATGCCAACATCCAAACACAGAAAGCATTGTCATCTAACAACGACAACTAGTCCCGAACCTCCTCCGCTTCTGACCTAACGTGCCAACAACTTGCTGCAGACTTCCACTACCTACACCTGATCTTTCCAGTATTCATCTCCCACAAGAAAGCAAGCCTGTCCCCAACAGTAAGATCACACCTTCCACTTACAGTGTGGCAGCCTTTCTTGCTCCAGGGTCCCACATGTCAGACCTAACTAGTCCCCTAGTCAGTGCTCCACCACCAAGGTTCATCCACCTGTGTGTAAGGCTCAGGCCCCCGCTCTGAGGGCACAGCAATGGACCACAGCCCACTGGCAGTTGCTCAAGCTGAAAAGCACGCCCAAAGTCATCCATCTGCTCCTACAGCCCTTCCACAGGCACATCACCACAGTAGAGGCTTTGTGGGAGTGAAAAAGTAGTAGGAAGAGCAGGAAGTACACAAGCTGCAGAGCTCCATTTGAAGTCTACAGAACTAGGGCACCTATCTCCTCTCTAAAAAAAGTCTCTCCTGGAAAAGAAACAGAACTGGAAGTCATCCTTATGGCTGCATAAAACCGTTTCCCATATGTCTTCTGCACACAGAACACTAGAACTGGAGGAAGCTGCACCTTCTTTACTAATGAAGGTTTTGGTAGAGCAACATGAACGGCGTTGTCCCCTACAGACACTGCAATGATTTGCCCTAGCTTTCCATCTTTTGCAAATGTTTGTGGCACTTCATCAAGTGCTGACCTGCTAACTCTTTGTATAGCTGGAACACAGGAAACTATGTTTGGTCATTTGCCTTCTAACTTTGATGTAAAAGGAGATTTTAATTGCTGAAACCGCATAAAATTGTAAAATCTTCTACTAAGAAAACAATTTGCAGCACTGACGTTTTGATTCTACTTAAAAGGACTACCTGGTTTGAAAGCTATTCCCTAACCATTTTAAAGGAAGAAGTTATTAAATAATGAAACCTGTAGAGTCCAAGAGGCTAATTTACTTATGTAATGCAAAGCAAAACTTCAGGGGAGCAACTTGCAGTGGTGATTAAAAGTCTAACATTTGGAAGTTTTCGTTATTAGCAAAAAAGAAAAAAAAAAAAGGGGGTTCTCACTAGGAAAAAGGACTGACGTGTAAGAGTAATTTGAGCAATTAGAAATCTACACCGCGTTTTCAATTACTTCTGAGACTAGAAGATAGCCAATTCTAGAAGTGTCACTTCAAGCGGTCACTCAGTTACAATACATTTAAATGTTTCATCTATCCTGTTCAGCAGATACTTTATCTTTTTCATAAATAAACTATCCAAGAAATACAAAAGGAATTAACAACTTGGTATGTAGTTTTCGCTCCTTACCCAGGAACAACTAGCTTCTGTCCATTATGAATGCGAAATGAACATCGATAGTCATCAGGGAGTTTGCAACCTATTTGTGCTTCCACAGCATCTAGATCTTCCTCCCGCACACTCTCTGTGTACAAAAAGAAACAGAGTATTAAGTGGCAGTTTTGGAGGGGGAATCAAGAACTGCTGCTCCTATGAAACTCTCAAATTCAATGCTGCTTCACTACTCTGCCCCCAAGTGCCCAGTATGCTGTTCCTGCCAAAGGTGAATATTGGAATTTGTGTTGAGACCTTTCCTTTAAAATTCTATTTCACATCACTTCATCAGAGCTGCGCGGCTGGAAATAAGGCAAAAACTAGCTACATTCTAGACATAACAGCATGTTTTCAACTGCCAAAGAGAATTTTAAGTAGCCCCAGAAACCTTAGCATTATGGACTTTTTTTTTTTTAAAATGTTATCACAAAATATACATTTCAAAGTATTTTGCCAGTTATAATTCACAGAAAGCAAACTAACAGACAGACAACAGCAAGATAAATTCAGTCCAACTTTGGGATGCAGCTGTCTACTAGCATGGTTTCAATAATATTCCACTGATTGAATTCACGCTAGTGGCCAGAATCACTAACAATCAAGTATTTCAAATAAAAAGCATGGAATTTGTAAGTGCCTTGCTCAAACAAACATGGACTCAAGTCAGTATTTGGTGATTTTATTGTATGCTAGGTGGCACAGAATGAATACTACATAAATTTGAAAGGAAGCTGATTAACTGATTACTTAATACAGCACCAGTCTCTGTCCAACGAAATCTCAGCAGGCCTGACTTAAGCAGAAAGTATTCATAACGTGAAATGAACCTTTTCCCCACAATATTGTCATTAGCTGACTGAGTCCCAGTTAAAACTTTTAGGCAATATTGATTTTACTCTTTCATCATGCTAAGGGTTGCTTCTTTCAGTTTCCAGTCCCATCAGCAACAAAGAAATGTTGGCTGCAGCCACCATTCACCTGGAATTTGAAGCAATAAATGGGTTGTAACAAGGGGATTTTCATGTCGTCATCAACAGAAGGGGGTGGGGAATAACCACTCTTACACCTCCACACAGACTTCAGGGGGTGTCCACACCCTCACTTCTACCAAAGATCAGCGGGGTGGCCTGTGTGATCTGTTCCAATCAAGGTTTTTAGGGTGATTTTTTTTTTTAAACTCTTTTCATACTCGTTATCAGTTTCATTTATACGGCATAAATTAACAATTCATCGAAACAAGATCTTGTACAAATGGTATTAAAAAGGTGTAAGTTGTGGAAGAGCTGCTGCTAAAATCTGCCATCACTATACATGTGTGGAAATCGATAATTTTAAATTTATTTTTGTCTTTCTATAGACAAACTTCATTGCACCAAATTCCTTGGGAGGATTTTGAAAGTAAAACTGCGGTAAAATCTGTTCGTTTCAACACCTCCAACACAGATACTTTCCATTTTATTAACAAAACATTTGACTGACAATTCAGTGGTTCTGTATACCTGAGTGAAGTCTGCGTTTTTCATAGAGCAGCATGAAAGTTACAGAAATCAAGGCATGGATATCTACATCGAGTACTATGGCCTGTGTTACACGAGAGTTCAGGCTACATATAACCCTTGTGGCCTTTTCCTAAAAAGGCATTCCTTCACTAACATTCAGAAGTAACAGAACAAAAGAATTTTTAAAGAAAACAGTAAGTATTAAGTTCTAACCATGTTCTGTTACTCACAAATACTTAGCAAAACTTAAGAATCTGGCACTAGCCAGCAAGCCAAGAAACATGCAAGATTTACATAAGAAAGAGATCATTGTCTATAGCGTTCTCTTAATGTCACAGATCATATTAAATCAAACACCTTGGTCTAACAGTCAGTTTCATACAGGAGACTGAGGTACAGTTGAAAACATCAGAGCTATTTTGTCCCTATACCAGAAAAGCCCAAACTTGCTGTATGTCCTGCTATGTAAGATTTATGAACCGGAACTCTGGAAGTACTTCAAGTATTGCAACACAAACTTAACTTGCAAACAGAATCTTGCGGTGCGGGGGGAAGCAAAAATTCTTGTTCAGCCACTAATTTACCTTCGTTAGAGGAACACAGTAGGAAAAAAAAAATACTTTTTTGTTTGGCTTTAGTTTAAAATGCCTGTTTCCATGTGAAAGTGTTTTAATTAGGTCTTAAGAAAATCTCACAAATAAAATCACACCAACAGGTCCCAGGTCCTTGAAGTAATGGGATTATTAAACTAAAAAATAATAATAAACACACAGAAAAAAAATCAGTCATCGCAACCACAGACAAAAGCAGTAGAAGTGTATTCATAATTTCCTGATTATCTAGAGATAAAGAAGACAGACTGGTCACTAGAAAAAAACAACCTTGATTTCTCCTCTGAAAAGAAACCTTCAGAGAATCTACAGATCACTAGTAACTGGGCAAGGACTGTGCACGTGGTCCGATTTGCTTATTTACTGGAGGGGAAGGGAAAGCACATCTACTTGACTTTCAGGGCTCCAGTAACTGAGGCACACACCTAGGATGAAAGCAGTATGAAAATAACAGACAATGTTGCGTCAGCCAAGCTCCTAGAGAAAGCAGGTATTACACCGTACCTTTCAAAGAACCAATCATCCGAGGACACCGCTGTCCTAAGTATTTCTCTAGGTCATCCCAGGCTTTTTTCAACGTAGCATAGTATCGGATGTATCTTCCTAGGTCAGAGTAGGTACTGATGAAGATGGCTTTCCAGCTCTGATTTCGTTGACTTTTTTCCTCTCTAAGTGGACATGAAGAAAATAAGTTCAAATGCCAGCCTAAAAAGCTTGACTTCTAAACCCAAGAAATTAATATTTGTTATCTGGCAGAAACACTATGCATAATATTAAGCCAGGAACACTTTGAGCCACGTGAAACTACACAAACTCAATTAATTCCAGCATCTATTCAACAGCAACTTGGCACAGAATTAGGAAACATTTGGGGTACTTAGTATCAGGGGAAAATTTAGAAACAGTGTTCCTTTAAACAGAGCACTGTCTATTATTAAATCTTAGAACTGGTGAACAGCTAATTGAGATCACATTTCACACATACACAGACAAGGCCTTAAAAAAAAAAAATCACATTTTTTGATCTACTGCATTAGTCACAAACTCCTTTATTTACCCAATAAGAAGGATTAAGAGGTAAACCAGACAGTTAAATGAGAACTCTGTGCACTGATCTGGAAAGTCAGTTTCTTAAGGAATTACTGCATATTCAGTTCTCCTCACAGTCAGAACAGCAGGATACGGGAAGACAGGCTGCCAGAAAAGTGCTGACTAACATCTGACAAAGGATGCTCGCCTCCAAATTGTAGCAGCCCTTGCATCTTTGTGTTAGGATATATTCCAACTCCTCAAACTCTAATCAGCATGCTGAATGGAAAAGATTTAGTACAGCTTCATACACCTAAATAAAAATGTAACAATTGAGAAGTCTTGACATCACCTTTAAGATCTCTTTAGCTCTAAAAAGGAGAGAAGAACCTTATTTCTTGAAGAAGAGTTGAGAGGAAAAAAAAAAAAAGTAGATTAAATTTAATCTGGGAAGTTAGATAAACTAATGTCAAACCAAAGAGAGAAAAAAAACTCCAAAGTGAATTATGTCTCAGCAGGTGAAAGAGGTTTCAGCATATTTTCTCCCTCCAAATGTTATTTGTAGAAATTCTCTACAGTCTTCATCACTCAGTTTTTCTTGGCTATGAAGAAGCCAGCATCTCAGAAGCCAACCCCAGAGCCCTATAATCCCCTCATCTTCCCCCATACACATACCAAGTTGCTCTTCTAAAGCATCAGGTACTCAGTTTGAACTTCCCATTTCCTCACCTTCTTTCCCTGCCCCCCACTGGATCTTCCTTTCTAGTTTGGATTCTAGTAAAAATATCGCTTAGGATTTTTATGCAAAATTTTACAAACTGTGTTATATCTTCATAAGCTGCATATAATTAAAATGCGCACAGTATATTTTTCTTTGTGGATTCAACTTTGTTTGCTGTTATTTTTTAATACAGCCCATATGATATAATATAGATTACAAACTACAAGTTTGGAAATGTTTTCCTAAATTACCTCCTCCACCCACTTATGCATAATATATTAACTCCTTATCACTAGCTGCCATCTTAGGCTATTCGTGTAATATAAGGACCACCTGAATAATGGAAAAATATATGGCACTGATCATTGAAGTCGTAAATAGTTAATACTCCTCACAATTTACAATCGAAAAAGGAAGATACTGTCTAGAAAACTGGACACAAAGATGGTATAAGTGGTAACAAAACTGGTTGCTAATTCACTTCAGTCAACTCCACTAGCTTTCTCAGCTCTTGAGAAAAACATGCTTTTGTAGCAAAGATGTGGATTGCTATCTTTATAGTTAGCTTTCACTTAACAGACATCCCGAGTTTAATGCAAGCAAGCAGAACAGAAAGTGAGCTTTTTTAAAATAAAAAAACCCACCACAACCTAAAGAACCACATACGTAAAACTTTTTACACAGCCCAATATGACTGCCCTGGGAAAAATGATGGAGGAAATCCTCCTGGAAAGCATTTTCAAACACATGAAAGACAAGAAGGTGATCAGGAGCAGCCAGCATAGATTTACGAAATAATGCTTGACCAACCTGATAGCCTTCTACAATGAGGTGACTCGCTCGATGGACGAGGGGAGAGCAGCAGATGTTTACCTCAAATTTAGTGAAGCCTTTGACACTGTCTCTGTTAATAGTATCATAGAGAAGCCGACAAAGTATGTGTTTGATAAGTAGATAGTGAGGTGGACCGAAAACTGGCTGCATGATGAGACCCAAAGAGTGATCATTTGGAGGCAAGTCACTTGTGGTGTACCCCAGGGCTCAGTACTGGGGCCAATACTATTTAATATCCTCATTAATGACCTGGATGATGGGTCATGCTCAGCAAGCCTGCAGATGCTACAAACCTGCGAGCAGTGGCTGATACAGCAGATGGTTGTACAGCCATTCAGAGAGACCTCAACAGGCAGAGAAGAATCTCCTGTTCAACAAGGGGAAATGCCAAGTCCTGCACCTGGGGAGGAATAACCTCAGACAGCAGTACACGCTAGGGGCCGACCAGCTGGAAAGCAGCTCTGCCGAGAAGAACCCTGGGGTCTTGGTAGACACCAAGCTGACGATGAGCCAGCAATGCACCCTCGCAGCAAAAAAGACCAACAGTATCCTAGGCCAATAGGAAGAGTTTTTTCGTTGCCAGCAGGTCAAGGGAGGTGATCCTTCCTCTCTAGTCAGCACCGGTGAGGCCACATCTGGAGTACTGTGTCCAGCTGTGGGTTTCCCATTACAAGAAAGATATGGATGTACTGGAACAAGTCCAGTGCAGGGCCTCAAAGATGATTACGGGACTGGCTGAGAGAGCTGAGAGAGCTGCCTGGAGAAGGCTCCAGGGGATCTTATCAATGCGTACAATTACTTGATGGGAAGGAGTAAAGATGGAGCCAGACTCTTCTCAGCAGTGCCCGCTGATAGGACAATGGACAGGGTCCTGGACAACCTGCTCTAAATGACCCTGCGTGAGCAGGGGAGTTGGACTACAGGATCTCAAAAGGTCTCTTCCAGCCTCAACTATTCCGTGATTCCAGTCACGGCTCCCCTTGACACAACCATCCAGTTGTACCCCTCATAATTACAGCACTCAGAATATTACTTTACTCTGCAGAATATTTGGTGTCTGAAGGAGAAGTTGCAGCTTGACCTTATCAGCCAAGGCATTAACAGGGCACCTCTTCTCTACCCATTCATAAAACTTATTAACACTTGTACATTCATGAAACTTCTTTAGGAAATTAACATTTTTGATACCTCTAACCTTTCATTGGTTTGAAGCTGGTGAATCCCAATTCAGTCTTAAGAGTTACTAGAAGTAATGTGGACATAAACAGACAGCACAATAACATAAGCCTCATTTTCATAGAAAAAAAGGCTTAAACCAACCATACTTACTCTGAAATAAGCCAGTATTTCTTGCAGTGTCTTTTCCACAATGGATCATGGCTGGATAGCTGATTTAATCTTCGACTTAAATAGCAGCAACTATAAATATTTAAATTTTATATTACTTTTCTTTTGCAATCAACGGGGATAAATACTGACCAGTGTATTACACATTGCATTCGCATGAAATAAATGCAGAGTTTGAAAGTTAGTTTTCCTTTAGAAAGTTTTTTAGCTGTCCTTTTCAGAGTTGTGCTTACAATGGTTAGAAGTCTTCATTACAGCTATGTAAGTCATGAACTACTTTTCTACACACTTTGAGAACTGTCAGCAATTAAGTAATTTTGTAAAGCAGGTCATCCTGTAGACCTACGCCATCGTAAACATTGCCTGAAAGATTCCAGCGTGACTCCTCTCCACCAGCCATAAGCATTCCAGTAGCACAGGCTAGTTATGATGATTTAAATTGCTTTCTTATCTGGATTGTCAGTCTCTACCTTATCTTTTCCACTGTTGCCATACTACTGAAAGCTCAAACAGTAAGCTACAGAAACTATACAGTTCAAGTATTACAAAGTTACTTTCCACTTTAAGTTGTTTAAATAACAAACTTCATGACCATAAACAATGAAAGGCACGGGAAAAATACAAAGGATGATAGACCTGGGAACAGGTACTGCAAGCTGACTCTCCTGAAGACCATATATAAGCTCTTGCCATTGCATTACAGGTAACATTGCTACTTCAGGAAGTTAAAAGAATCCTATCCTGCACTATGCAGCGCTGTTGCAAACGCAGTAGTAAAAAACCTGTAGAATATAGGTCTAAAACCGTCCTCAGAAACCATTTAAGTTGATCCTTGCTTGATGCAAGGAGATAGCAAAAGCTAACCTGTATTCCCGATGCCTGCTAACTTGCTCTTTAAAAGCAGCAATGGCGGTGCCATCAAATACAGTCTGTTCCCAAATTTACTTTTAGTTACAAAGCCTTTCTGGAATGTAAAACTGGTATCGACAGCAAGACATTTCAGCATATCGATATGAATAAGAATGTGCGGCAAAGCATCAGCAATATGCAAAGGAGTAATACAGGGAGTGACTGTGTTATTCAAAGATTCACAGAATTTAAAAGAAATTATTGCCTCATTCAAACCTGAACACCAGACAATAAACCTTTTTTCCTTCCGTGTTTGAGCTGAATTATCAGTTATGCTTTAAAGAAACTCTCCAAAAGATACCACCAATTCAGATGTGGCAACATCACTTCCTCTGGTAGCTTGTTCCAACAGTTTATGTGTGTGATTTAATGGCTGTGATTAACATCCAAATACCCCAAATGAGGTTACCAAACATAAACTTCCAGTTACTGCTTTTTGGGTTTTTTTCAGTGTAGTTCAGAAGTTGGTAAGAAAGAAAGACCAACAGTGTAAATGGACATAGTTACATACTGAAATAAAGATGCCTCTCAATCTTCTCTTTGATAAGTAAAATCAGCCGAAGTCCATGGCTGCAGAAAACATCTTGCACTGAGACTACAGAATTACTCTCATTTATCTGTTCAATTCAGTCTCTTTTTTTTTTCTCCCCAATATCCATTATAAGCTGTTTAAACTAGAATTGTATTAGTATTTCAAAACCAACTTCAACAAAGTGATTCTCCTGTATGCCCTGCCATCACCCTTCCCCCCCGCAACGAGACAAGGACGTAAACGCATTCACTTCAAACCTTGACATTTGGCCATGTAAGAATTTCATTCATGACGTGCTGATTTTTTATTATTTTTGGGGTGGTGGAACAGAAATATCCCAAAGTCCTTCTAGAAATCTATTATATTGGTGTTTATCAATCAAGCCTGTAATTTCTGGTAGGAAAGAAGTCACCATGACATCAAAGATGACCAAAGATGCAATTAAAGCCATTCTCATTAATTACATAAATATTTGGTCACCTGTCAGGTTTTCCATTATTTAAGGGCCACCACCAGGCTACCCAACCTGTGGAATACTAGGGAAACTGTAATGTTTGTAATGGTCAGAGGATACACACGTCACTAAAACAAATGTAAGCAAGCTAGAGATTTCCCCAGTTAATGCTTTGAGTACTACCAACAGCCAGTTATGCAAAACTGCCATTACTGACTTTATAAATAAGAAACCTACACAGTATTTAGTTGTCCTTGCACAGCAAAATCCATCTCATTTTGTCAAATATATAACAAAAATAGGTAGTGCCTTTACTACACCATCAGCAACTACTACTAAATCATCCGTACTGGACTTGTAACAACTGTTGTAATTTTTGCTTACACTTACCCTCTTTTTTGCTGTTATCCTAACAGAATTCTCCCTGATGCTTTTGGCTTTTTTGCCCAATATTTATGGGGAGAAAAAAACCCAAACAATAACCGTTTTGATAATATTCTATTTTATTCATACCTATTCCTCCCTCTTTGATTAAATACTGTAATTTCAATCACTGTCAGTGCTTGTACTTCTTTGGTGAGGTTGTAGCTAAAAACATACTCTCATCTTCATTCCATGACTCATAAGTCTTCAGCCATCCAGTAAACTGTCCAAGAGCAGCCTGCAACTTTCATTCACGTTTTTCTGCCTGAAAAGTCGCCCTATTTCATTTCGTTCGGTTTTCCTCAAACAGCCCATTCAAATAATTTTATGTATTCACTGGCAACACGACCGCCCTTTGTTTGCCCGTAGATACGCAACAGTTTCAGAGAATTATTGATTTCGCAAATTCAGTTATTGGTTCATCTCTAAATTGAAATTTAGCCACAAACAAAACCAATATATACCGGGGGAGAGAAAAATAGAGAAAATTCCCTTTTGCTTTAAAAAAAAAAAAAAAAGGCAAAAAACCCGAAGAGCACCGCTGTTTCTGGAAAAACAGGCTGCCCAGGGAAGTGGTTGAGTCTCCATCCCTGGAGGTATTTAAAAGACGTGTGGATGTGGTGCTTAGGGACATGGTTTAGTGGTGGACTTGGCAGTGCTAGGTTAATGGTTGGACTTGATGATCTTAAAGGTCTTTACCAACCTAAAGATTCCATGATTCTATGATACTAAAAGAAGAGTTAAAGTAGTTCACATTGATACATTCTAAAATGTCTGTATTGTTTGACTTAAGAATCATTGCGGACTGTGAAATAATAACATCTGCTCAGTGCAAATCAGGGTTAAAAAATATATAAATAGAAAATAAAAAATACAAACAAAATAAATCCATAATGGAAAAGTATTCAGATTACAACTGATAAGATTTTAATAAAATGATGGTTCAGCACCACTTTGCTGAGAGGAGGTTATCAAAACTGAACACAATCTGCAAAGTAGGAGATAACACTAGAAGAAAAGTAGAAATTATTAGTGTGGTGGGATGACTGAAGTATTCTGTTTACAAAGACAAATAAGTGATTAATCATTCTTGCTAAGTATATAATGAGGGTTCAAAATGAGATTTTTGGGCATCCTTATCTACCCTCATCCATGAGAAACGGGAAGAGGAAGATAAATCATGGAAATACATCATTACACAAAATGTTTTAAAAAAAAAAAAAAAAAAAAAAAAAAAAAATGTCCCATAGCGACGCCTGTCTCAGGCAGGGGCCGTGAGGTGGAGGCCCCGCGCCGGGAGAGGGGCCCCGCGCCGTGGGGAGCTGAGGCCACGGGGCCGGTGCGGGCAGGCGTCCCCGTTACCCTGAAGCATCCCAGATGGCGTCTGGCTCCTGGGGTTAGGCCACTGGCTGGAGCCCATCTTGTCAGCATTTCAGGCAATCTGGGGCTCAGACGTGCACGCAAAGCAATGCTTTGCTTTCAAGCAATATTAAGAGATTAAGCTTCTTAATTTGCTTTCCTGAAAGAGAAAAATAATTTGCATTTAGCTGGAGTACTTGTACCACTGAATCTTCATGTGGGGACGTGCTGGTAGGATCATGGAATCATAGAATCATGGAATCGTTAAGGTTGGAAAAGACCCTTAAGATCATCGAGTCCAACCGTTAACCTATCACTGCCAAGCCCACCACTAAACCATGTCCTCGAGCACCACATCTACCCGGCTTTTAAATACCTCCAGGGATGGGGACTCAGCCACTGCCCTGGGCAGCCTGTGCCAGGGCCTGACCACCCTTTCGGTGAAGAAGTTTTTCCTACTATCAGACCATGGACATCCCTGGGAGATGAGGGTACTGACTACTTCCAACATCAGATTGCTTGGTAGTTCACAGTTTACCAAAGGAACAAGAATTAATGTTAGAATAGCATCGATGAGACAAATACAAACCTGCTTATATAGTCGGCCTCTATGGGCTGATTCTAATGGATGATTAGAATCCACTAGGACTGAAATTATAAAGGTAATGGTACACATAGGTGGGAAAATAAACTTACTGAGATGAATATCATTAAAACAAAAGGATGTGTTGCATCTTAAGGGTGTATCCAAATACCAGATTTTTTTTTTAGTTTCTTCCACATTTTGTTAAACAGAAATATGTTTTCAGAGAAAGCGTATTTTCATTTCGTTTTAATTCATTTCAGAAAAAAACCATCTTTTCCAGAACACTGTCCCTAAAACTGATTTCCTCAAAGACCTTCAAGGAGGATTCTGAGTCCTGGCTTTGCAACAGGAATGTGGAAGTTTCTGCAAACCTGAGGTCTTGTGCTGCCAAGCTCCCAGGTCTGTGTGAAGAAGCCCGGTGTCTCAGACATGGCTGCATCGCCCAGTGTTGTCGCTGCTGGAACCTCTGGAACCCAAACCCATGGCCACGTCCTCTCCTGACCACAGACCCCAGACCCACCAGCTTCCAGCCGTCACCTAGTCCACAAAAATCTCAAGTTGAGTGAAAGTGTGTCAAACCCGAGATGTGGCAGGTGAAACATTTCAAGCTCGACAAGCAAAATCTGTTTGCTCAGCGAAAGTAACTAGTAGATAGTATAGTCACAACAGTAATTAATTTATAATGCTGTAGTGCTGTAAAACTAAGAATCCCAAAGCATTTTGCAAACAGTGAATTAAGCTTCACAAGCATCCTCTGAGGTAGATAAATATTAAATAGATCACATTTTATATGGAAAAAATCAAACGATATGTGACAGCTGCAGAAAAAAAAAAAAAGAAACTATTCTTTTTATGTCCCTCACTTTGATTGAGTTAAATATTCTTATGTGAAAGAAGGAATTGTTCCTACTGCATGATTTTACGCTAGTAATCCTGTTTTGTCTCTTCTTTTTCAGGTACCAGTAGTATGTTATTGAAACAGTTGATTGTCTTGGCAACATCACTCAAATAAGAACCGAAAAGGAACAAGCTAGTGGTTATATGACTGCATTTTTGCTAGCTGTTGGGGGCATTTTTGTCCTTTATAA